TTAGCGTCTATGTGCTGTACATTCCAAGCATGCTAGTGAAACAAAGCGCGTTGGTCTACACCGGGGCTTCAACAGCATTTCGTCATCCCAAATGCATGGAAGACGGTGGCTATATAAGGAGCCTTCGTAAGTAAAGAAGATTCTGCAAACACATTAAAGCGTCCACACACCATCAAGCAAACTCAGCGTCTTTTGCATCGATGAGCTTTCAACTTACCTTGAACATATGTTGGATTGGCCCCTACCACGGACGCACCGGACTGCAACTCACCTCCTGGAGTTCGGCAACCAAAAGGCTCTAAGGGGCTAGCAGCCGTTCCAGGAAACGTCGACCAGCGCAAGCAGGGGAGCTCCAGGTTTGTACCTCTGGCTACTAAGATGAGTATGCTCAGCAACCGCAGTAAACTTTTGAAGCCCAAAAGCTCCTCTACAATGCAGCTATTAAATGTAATATGCCATTTAATATTGGTACGATCGAGTTTGGGCATACGTTGTTCCTGTGATCCAGGATAATTCTGCACGATACAGTACATTGTTGCAAGATACAGTACTCCTTCGAACACAAGGAGGCCGCAAGATCCAAAGAAGGCACGGACGTTTTTTGTGGACATTGTCAGAACAAAAAACCAAAAGAGTGTTGCTCAATTGTTTCACCTTCACGTAGAGCAACACCTATACAAAAACTTGCTGAGACATTGCTTGCTGTGGTGCATGGCTGTCTCGAGTTGCTACAGACAACTGTGAGACTGCTTAGCTCTGGTTTGTTTACATCTTGAAAACAAGTCCGGGAATCAATCAGCCGTCGTCCTGGCACACGTTTCTGGCCAATGCTGCGCCATGTGTTAATATACAAGCAAGCGTCACAAATATTGGCATCCGGTGCCGCAGCTCAGCCCCTATGCAGCCGTGTCATTGCAAGCATACCTCCTGCCGAGAATTTTCTTAGGGGGCTAGTCTTCGTGAAGGCTCCCGAAAAGTCATGGTTCAAGAAATAACACCGCAGCGATTAGGTTTCCTAGTTAGTTGCACCCGAGCATGAACGTTTCCTGCTAAAATATTATGCAGGACAGGAAAGGAAAAGGTTTTGCTTTCTGCATTGCTGTTCCTTGCCCCACTCCCACGCTGGCCATCAACTTTACCAGGCGTACCTTTGGAAGGTGATACCGCAGCAGCCCTTGGGGAGCCTAGGTATGCAGAGACACTAATCCAAGGAAAATAAGCTAAAACCTTAAAGGCAAATACATTCTCCGCACGTTCAAGCTACTGAGCCCAGCCGGGCTCAATCAAGACTTGAATTCCTATTCCTCAGCATAATGTTGAACGGCTCAGTTCCCTGAGGGGGAAAAGAGCGTATTTGCCTGTGTGTCGATGCCGCTGTCGGCTCTGATACTCATGTACGCGCCTCAAAGCCTGTTACATGAAGCGTGCATGGTACAGTACCCACCTCCTGCAGGCACGAGAGAAACCTTGCTGTTGGTCCGACTGGCATGCTTCGTTCAAGCAGGCTCTGCAATATTCGTAAAGAAGTTGACCAATTTACTCTCGATTTAGTCTGCCTTAAAATGCCGCATCGACATTCTATTTGACGGCATAAAACCTGCAGGTCCAATGGTGCGGTTCATCTTCGTATGGCTGCCGACATGGCGATTACGCACAAATACGAATATTTCATATTCTCGCAAAATCTGGAACCAGTGCATCCCACCGGCCATTGAATTATATAAACGGATGCTATTCCAGATGCCATCAATGCACGAAAATGTGAATACTACAAGAATTGCGCGGCAGCATGGTGTGGAGGCGGAGATGGCTTTTCAAAGGGATTGGCAACCTCCATTATTACCGTTAAACCCAGTACGACCGTGCCTGCATTTGCCGACTATAATGCAACGCCCCCTTCGCAAATGAAACGTATACTGCTTGAGCCGTACAGACTGCAAACAGAACCAGCCCATTCTAGGACAGCTTCGTGGAATGCAGGAATATCAGTGGCTCGGTATGACAGGTGAGCTGGCACATATGCGTTAGCTGTCCGTATACGTGAGCCGTTGCGCCTTTGGCAGAGCCGCCGCCTACTCGAAAAAAGGATGACAGCTGGCACCTCGAAAGCAATATGGTACCCAGTTGTGTGGCATCGTGAAATCACTTAATAGACACCTGAAGCGAAAGCTCACTCATTGAGAGCCGCAGGTCTAGAGGGACAGCTCCAGGGACCCACTATGTTCACTTGGACAGTTACAGCTTGCCACGGTGCTCCAGTCAACGTGTAAGAGGCATTAAGTGGATAATTAGCTGTAGACTGGGGAGCACGGCGAGACATACAACCCAAAACAGCATGTCCATATGCCCTCGACTTACTTTCTATACCGCCATAATCGCCACCTCCGTAACAAATACTACGGCACAGGCAAAAAGCAATATATGCACTTGGCGCATGTGCAACAGTGCCCCTTCAATGCGAGCTTCGGCAATTAGGCGTCTTCATCGCCTTGACGAGGACAAGTGTATGAGCCCACACACACTGGCAAAATTTTTGAAGGATCTTCAGTACGCTCCTGAGGACAGCACGCCTGACGATGCGGACAACAGCCAAACTGCAATAGAAGCCGTACGCACTGTAGAGACACAGGACTCAGTTACTCTGCGATTCGGAATTCTCGGACAAAACAAAGCGACTTCCCAAAGCAAATAGTGCGCCAACCCATAATCGGAAGTACGTAAAGTCTTCCAAGCCAAGAGACGAGATGCGCAAAGCAGATACTACCAGTGTGTTATTTGCTCTTTGGGGCTGCAAAAACACTGACGTCCTGCGCATTGTAATGCCGTGCTCTGCGAATGTGAAGCAGGAATACCCGAACATGTCTAACCTGTTTTGCTCAGCAACTCCCCGCCATTGAGTAAGCCGTTACTTCTCACTCTGGATACACCATCACGCATTTGTGTCGTTGAGAGCTCCAGCTCTGGGCTTCGCAGCGCAAGCAGGACTGCACAATAAACCCGTGTATCCAGGCCTACAGCTCTCAACATGCTTTCGCGTTCAACAAAAAGCTAGCAACGCCGTGAAGTCTCCTTCAGAAACTGCACGCGTTTTCTCCCCAATGAAGGCGACTACACCATGACCCAAGCTGACTCGTCGCGGAGACTTTCTTTTCACCCTTGGAAACTCTACGCACTTTCTATTGCAACAGAGCCACCTGTGAATTGTCATTGAGATATTGCTGAGGCACTGCCCATGATGCTGAAAGAATCACTTCATTGTTCACTCCCTGCGAGCTGTTTGCCACTTACTCGCTTTACCACGCAGACCTCGGCATTTCTAAGCAGGTGATGTTGTTTCATTGTGCATACCTCAGCTTAAACAATGCTGCAGAGCAAATACGCTTTCAACTTAACGGAAGGTATTCGGAGTAAGGAGAAGCATATCCAGCTTTCAACGAGGCGTGCGGGCGAATGGTCTGCTTACACTGTTACACTGCACTCAGCAGCCCACCACCCCTGCACAATACTACAGGACGCAGAGAGTGGAGTTTTCCGGCGTGGTCTTGCCCATTTGAACTGAACAACAAGACCTTAAGCGCACCTTAAAATTATGCTGCGCTGCCCCCTACAGACGCACAATATGGGCAGTTAGCCAAGCACTGCCACCGCTTACAACACAGATAACATTTTTCACTGCTGCTTACGTGGTTGCACCCGAGGCTATAGAACTTCGCACTTCAAAGCATCACTCCAAGCCAGCGCACTAACTGAGTTGCCGTGAGTGACCAGTTTGGTTGACAATGGGCGAGACAGTTTTCCGAAGCTGAGATGGGTTCGTTTCCTTTTTTTCAACTCTCAGTCTGTGCAGACGTGAAGCGCTTCGTATGGTGCGTCATATAGAGGGCACAGTCCGACAGTTAAGGCTAAGGAAAATTGCAGGCACCTTTCAAAAGACGACTCTGTCCAAATCACAAGAGAGCTGCATTCAACAGTAACCCTTCTTCCCTCCTTCCCATAGCATTTCAAGCCAGCTCCTTGCGCGGTATGTCCGGCTAGAAAAGTAGAAAAGAAGTGATATCAGATTCAGTCGGCAAAAATAGCCGTCGTCCACAAAAGGCAGCCTTCACTGGATGCCAGTGGTTCCTTGCTCTGGATAAGATGAAGGCGCTCCACGAACGCGGCGGCAGTATTTTCCGTGTGCTCCATGTGCTTATCCATTCATAAACATATGTAAGTGCTGATATCATAAGGATATCAGCGCTGCTCCCAAGGAATGCCTTCTTGTGCAGGCAGCACAGGCAACAATGAAGCTCAGCAAGGCCATCATGATGTATCTTCGCCTCCCTGGGTAAGCACTATACTCTAAGTATGCTCATCAACACGGCACTTACTGCCTGAATGCAGGTAAGACTGATTAAACTTTCCAAAAGCTGGGACTCGTCAGCTGCCTGGATTTCGGTAAGAATGAAGCTTGGTGAAAGCATATCTCCTAAAGAGAAACAAGCGACCAACCAACCGGAAAATACAGCCCACTTTCCTGGCACTAAAGATTGTCAGGCTTCCAAAACATGGACGATAACCCCACATGATAATCCCGCCGAAACTAGCGGCGCTTTACAATGAGGTAGTAGGTGCACCAATAAGCGCATCTCCTCCGCCACAAGGATCCTCCTTATCGCACAGCGTTTTGAGGGTGTCTGCCTGCAGCACCCTTCTGTTTCCTTATGATGTCCAAGCAGCGTACTGCCTAAATTAGGCGAAATCCCCAATTCGAGAATTATCTCGGTGCCTTAGGGGAGCTGCGGCGAACTTTTGGAAAGCCAAGTAGAAGGCATTTAAGAGGCAGAATGCCGAATTCAAAAACTATCTCGACTTCTTGTTGCTTTTGCTTGGCAATGCTGACTGTGAATGCTAAGTACTAAACCTGGCCGCCAGGCGATGTTCTCACGAGGGCAGTGTAGCAACTGGACGCCGGCGGCTGTGAAGAAAGCCAGCTCACACTCCGCGGCACTTGGGTGACATTACCGCAGCACTCGAGTAATTACGCTAGAATTCAGCCGTTGTAACGAGGCAAACCAGGAGCTGCGATAGGCATCACTGCTGTGAAGTTTCACGCTGCCTGCCACAATGTGGCCCTCCAGCTGCGATCGCTGCGCATTTACGCTGTATACAAGTACAAACATTGTTTCCTCCCTCAACGTACAATCTGCGAAACCAAAATCCAGCGCATAACACAAGAGCTATGTCCATTTCGCGGCGTTCAAACCACGCACCAGCGCTACAATGTGACATTGTCAAATTCCTTCCGGTCTCCCACCTTCAAGCAAACCTGGTCTCCAAAATGGAAAATCAGCCCACTGCTATAATGATCAAAAATATCTAGTCAGCATGCGTGTTCCTCCTCCTTGGCGAGAGAGCAAACGTAGCAAAGGGTACAAATTGTGCCGCGAATCAGCATAAACTGCTCATCTCTCCTTGATAAACCTGAAAATAATCGGGATTCTGCCCTGCAACGGCAGTGAATGACCTTCTAGTCCTGCCATGCGAGAGATGCAGTGCCAGTCTGACGGTAAGGGCTAGCCGCACATGCCAGATATTGTGGGGGGATGTGGGAACAGAAAGGAAACCTTTGTTGATGCATCTAGAAGACAATTTGCACTATGAGCAAAATGGCCAGCGCTATAGTTGCTCTACCGTAGCTTGTTGGCAATCAAGCACCGTTAAACTGAGGCCCGTCGTACTCTCTGACACCAGATTAATGCTAGCAGCAGCTGCTAGTATTCATAGGCAGCCAGCTGTTCCAATGCACTGCAGAGGATATAGCCCACATTGCCGTTTGTAACTGCTTCTGTTCAGCCTGTGAAGCCTAATATAAGTGCGAGCGAGAGATCCTACTAATGGCTCCCCGGGAAGGTGTGTCATGCCCACTCAACCTGCCACACGGGTAGCTTGGCTTAGGCACATACTCACATTTAAAATACCAAAAGATGCTAGGCAAGATCTGTCCTAGCTCACTGGGCTGGGAAAGCTACCATCTGCTGGGCCCAACTTGACGCATTGTCTGGGCATTCAAACGCAAGAACAAGTGCGGCAGGAATGGGACGCCTAGAATTGTTCGTACTAAAGTCCAGCTGGCAGCTTTTCGATGCAGGCGGCCAGTCAACAAACGTCTAGAGACCATTCGACAACGTGACACTTACGCCCAGAAAAAATGAACTATGTGATTTGCCGGTTGCACCGATTCAACTAAAGTCAGTTATCCTGCCGCTTGGCAGAGGAATCTGCGGTTACTTCTGCAGTCCCGAAATCGCAAAACTCTACAGAAGCTAAGCCAACACACTCTCCAGTTGCGTTGGTGCTGATTATCACCAGACATTTCCCACGTTCACCTGAGTCAGCGCACTTGCTGCTCAGTTTTTGACCGGAATGCAGTTTGCGCATGCCTACCACGCCTGCAGCAGCACATGACTGATTGTGAAAACAGTGTCAAAGTAACCCTGTGCAACGTAGGCCATCAACAGCTAGAGCTGTTTCATCAACATTCCACTGAGACAGACTAGATACACGCCTCTCACTCTCGTGCTAGGTCAGCTCGACGTCATGCCTCCATGCACCTCGCCCTGGCCGGCTGGCCCGAAAGCGAAGCGTAACTTGAACAAGATCAGCACGGGGGCAACGCTGAGGAGCTGCCCAAGCGGCAAAAATATGCTCCTTTAAGGCTAGCAAGAAGAGCCACACGTGAAATGGATGTCAACCCGTTCCGAGCCGTTTCCGCTTCCTGCCTGCAGGCGACAAGACTCGCGGAACCACTTGAGAAGGCACTGGCGGCCTCCATTACCATCAGCAACTACTGTACAACACAAAGGCACGCATGGCAGCTTCCCACGTGCGTAGCAATGCGTTTGAGGGCACGCGCGCACCATGTTGCAATAGGAAACATGAAAAACGCAGCTTCTCGGCAGCACTGCCAGTCCTGTCGGTGATCTCACAACGTGATGAGCATTACAGAGGTAGAAACCACAAAGAGTAGGTATTCCTCACTAGTCCTCCCTACAAATGAGGACTGCCAACGGCCAGGAGATTACTTGAGCTGCGATTCAGTTGCAACGCCACCAACACATCAACCGTAATTGAGCGCGTTGCATGCTTAAAGCCATTGCTAGCTAGCATCGCACCTCCTGCATTACATAGTACAGTATGCCTTTCGCAACCGTTTGCTGCGCTTGGTATGAACCGCCCATTAAAACGGTTTAAGAAGCATAGAACAAATAGCAACCCAGAGCAGCCATAGGGCAAGCAGCATCTTGGTATTCATGGATATCTAACAAGCACTGCAAATACTGGGACTGCACAGACCTGCGCAAATGCGGACTTTTTGAATTGTCCGATATGAGTAACGACAGGGTAATGCGATGCCTAGTTGGGCGTACTCCCATTTTCTGATACCGTAAATGCACAGGGAACTTTTGCCCATGACGTTCCTGCGTCAAAACGCACTAAGTGCAGCACCCACTGAACTCGTCAAACATGCGAGCATCCCCATACCTCTCGTTTCCGCGAAGCGTGCCTTGGAAGTGCCAAAAGCCACATTTCGTAGGTATCTGCACACGAGTGAAATCCGCCCCTAAAACTTGTGTTGTTTTCTAGATTTGCCAACATGTAACATACTGACTGCGGAACCGCTCTCCGCAACATCCAAAATGCACCAAGAGCCACAGGACAAGAGCCGATCGGGTATGGCCAGAGACACCTTCGCCTGCAGACAAATGGTTGCAGCTACACCTCAGCGGCTCCTCCGGATAGTCTAATGTTGGGCGCATTTCCCGATCCCCTGGAGCAGCAATGGCAGGCCCGAAGCCCATTTTTTCCATGCACTGAAAGAGCAACATGGCCGGCCTGTATGACGTTTGCTTGCGGGAAAAAATTCGAATGTTCGCTAGGAACGCGCTTGCCTGATGCAGTTGGCCTCCATCGACGTAACGTTTAAGCAGTCATTGGATGGCTGCAAATATGCCCAGCTGCACGCATACTGGACTGCCCAGGTTCCGCTCCGCCAAGCTGGTAAAATGAGTCGGTGTGCGGTTGACTCTTAGAGCGTTACCCGTTGCTGTGAATACAAGGATCTTGCTACTCTCAGCGACCGTTTACTTCTGCCCACTCATCTACCACGGGACAGGCCATACTAAGCGAGATTTTCCACAATCGTGCAAAGCAGTCTGCTGTGGGGGGAAAATGCAATGTTGCTTACGGCGACAACGTCCAATAAACCAACTGCACTGCCAGCAACCAACTACAGATGGCACTTTCATAGCATGGTAGAAAGGGCAACCAGGCTTTCACAGAATATTGCGCGAAGTGGATAACAAGCGCAACGCAGCATGAAGTTCTACGATGATTTACACACCACAGCGAAGAGATCCAGATTGCCATTCTCTCGCATTCATCAGCTTCTTCCGTACATCCTGCAACGCAAAGCAAGTCATACCCAGATCCCCTAGATGCATTGCACGATACATTTGGTCAAACGCACAAAAGGAGCACAATTTTATGCGTATGGCGTATGCTATGCCCAAATCCCTCAAAAGCTTTAGAGCCAGTCCAGCCGGCGCCCCCGCCAAGACGGTAGAGGCATTTGCTTGCCATGCTCCTTCGGCTCAAGATACAGATATTCTGAATGCAACATAGGCTCGAAAATATGACTAACCCTCCTCTGCGGTATGCCTATTTTTCACTGCCCATGTTCAGAACTGCTAACCGCTCGATGTCCACTGTGAAGTCAACCAACATCTCATATTGCATCAACCCAGCACCCAAATGCACCTGAGACTGGCAGTGCTTTATATGGATATCCATTTAGAATATCAGGAAGACTTTGCAGATGTAAGTGACAGCTCCATATCTTCAAATTCCGTCCTTCATTAACCACATCCACCCGTCTGTCGTCGTCCTAATGCCGTGCCCCTTGCTGCATTTCTTGGGCATCGCGTTCTCCTTCCCCGTTCATACGTCGCACAAGCCACTTTCGTCCAATGACCAGGAAAGGCAGTCCCAGAGCAAACCCTCGCGTCAAGGTGTGCACGCGAGTGCTCCGTCCAAATGCACCTGCGACTCCAGCATCTATAACGGTGGAACGACTGACTAGCAACAGTCTTCTGGATGCTCTGAAAGCCGTTTTTATGTTGTAATGGCACAGTACTACTTTTTTTGTGTGCCCCTTACTCTCTGTAGCAAAGTGCATGAGGAGTATAGCTCTGTGGCAGCACCTACTCTCAACTCAGGGTAGCGTGCACCCTGAAGGACCTTGGTTCACGCACTCAGTATGCTTCCCTCACATACCCAACAGGCTGCAAGCTTGGGAAATGTGCAGCAAAAGTGCAAGCTAAAGCATTTAGCCCCAAGGATCAGTAGTCTCCGCATTAATCAACAGTCACTTCGGTGTGCCACTCTGCAAGCACTAGTTCCCATGTTCGCACTCTATGAATACTCATCAAGGCATTCCACTTTACTCCAGAAGGTACGTATATAATCTTGCAAGCGCGATGCTAAATATGGGTTGGAAAGAAAGCTGGATGCTCGCGGCTCCCCTATAGCCCCCCGCCATTCTTCGTTCTCGTAAAATCCCTGCCCACTGCCCTCCCGGGCAGCGCCACGTGCACCTAGCCGAAAGCCACCAAGAACCTAGCTGCACTCCATAGCTCGCTGCGACTATGGTGGGGAACAGGTACGCACATAAGACTTTGGAGAGTAAATTCACACAAATCAGGAACTGTGATGGATTGTCCAGAACAAGTCCTAAACCGAAACGCACATAAACGATTTCAGGTATGTTTGCTGCAGCAGAGGCCGCATGCACCTTGCAACCGATGCTGAGAGCCAAGCATAAGACCCAGTTTCACTTGCAAACGTCGTAAACGATCGCTTCTACCTGTGTACTGGTGCGTTAGTCGCCGGCAATTTTGGGTTGGCCCGTTGTCAACTGCGGCTGCCTGTTGCAAAGGATCCTACCATCTTCAAAAACCAGCAGCTCACAAAAAGCA